CGCACTTCATTAGCTGCGGCCCCAGCGCCGGCTGCGGTGCTGGGACGGGGTGGGCGGCGAGGGGATGATCGGATACAGCAAGACTTGGCTCCTCTTCGAAGGTCGTTCACAGCTGGCCCGGAGACGGAGTGGCGGGGGCGAGGGGAGGGGGAGGGGGAGGGGGATCGGCGGCGCGCTCTGTTCTGTTGACAGCAGGTCGCGGTTTCTGACAGCTCAGCAGCACAGAGTGGCAACTGCGGTCGTCCACCTCGCGCCTGAGGGCTACGTCCAATCAACGTAACGTAACGCAACGGAGGTCAGCGCACACGTGGTGTGAGAAGAAAAGGCCTCCAGAATCCTTTTTTGGCATTGTGAGTTGAAAGGTCTGATATCGAGTTAGCGACCTTCAAAATACCAGGAGGTGCTGGTTAAACGACAATATAATGCTACATAACGATCATGTTGACGGCACTTAACAGCTCGAGCAGTGTTCATCCTCCAGATAATCGTTACTTGGCATCACGACATCGTTTAAATGGTCTATCCTGGCGTATTTGAAGATCGCTACCTCGACACAAGGACTTTCCACCCTTTATCAGCGGAAACGGCGAAATCTCACGGGGAGTAACGATGCAGATGCGGCTCTTCCTCTGTTCTTGTGCTGGGCGTTGGTGTAGTCGGCAGGCGATTGGAATGCCGCTCTTGTGCTGGGCGATGGTGCAGTCAGCCGGTTGTTTTATCGCTCCCGTGCTCAGCGATGGTGCAGTTGGTCGGCGATTATTCCTCCGATCTTGTGCCAGGCGATGGTGCAGCCGGTTGGCGGTTGTCCCTCCGTTTTCCTGCCGGGCGATGGTGCAGTTGGTCGGCGATTATTCCTCCGATGTTGTGCCGGGCGATGGTGCAGCCGGCTGGTGGTTGTCCCTCCGTTCTCCTGTCGCGCGATGGTGCAGCCGGTTGGCGGTTGTCTCCCCTTCTCCTGTTGCGCGATGGTGCAGCCGGTTGGCAGTTGCCCCCCGTTCTCCTGTCGCGCGATGGTGCAGTCGGTTGGCGGTTGTCTCCCCGTTCTCCTGTCGCGCGATGGTGCAGTCGAGCCGGCGAAGTGCAGTCGGCCAGCGGCGGGGTCGATCCCGGATCAGCCTCGTGACGAACGATCGCCGGCGCTGATCCCAATCTGGTGTCGCGCCGATGCAGCGATCCATATTAGAGGGGTCCGCCGAACAGCGAAAGTCCCGAGCTGCGGAGGCGAGCGGGCGGGAACAAAAGCCCTTGATGTGAGTCATTCACCCGCGTGTGATTCACACCGGGCATGCTGTGGGCAACGCTGACGGACGGCATCCGCCCACGGCGTCATCGTTCAGTAAGACAGACGACCAGACTGGTTTGCGAAAGGAAAAGATCGATACATCAAAACTGACTGAACGGCTGACATCGATCGTATAAAGAATCTGCGCGGAACTCAACAGTATGCAAACTGGACCGGCGTATTGATGAACGGTTGAAATCTCACAGAGCAGGAACAAGAAACACACCAGATTAAATAGCCTGCACAATTGTATTGATAATTAGGGTGCTTCCCAGACGGGCTGAATCAATCCGATGATTCTACATTACAGTTCTAATCTACCGGGCTGGAAAGAGTTGCCCGAGCAATCGTGACACTTCTTTCTTGAAAAGTGAGCTCTCACGGCATTTTTGCGATCCGATACAGCATTTTCTTCTTTTGAGATCTGGATGTGCGCATGACTGTGTGCCATTCTGACTTTAAAATGTTCAGGGTAATCGACACCAGCCCTCCGCTAGTCACGCTCTGTGTGAAACGTTTTTGTAATTTTTAATAAAAATACATGAATATATAAAAACATCAGGTTGTCCATGTTACCCTGATTACATGAATTTGGTTCCATCTTAGTTTTACCATGGCCTTATAATTTTTCATTACCAGTGGTGAAGTGTTTCGGAAAACATTGCGGAATTATATGGGTAAATAATACCATCCAATTTCCTTCGTGCATGAGGGGGGGGCGCTGCGAATTTTGAGCTGGGGGACAGACGTCCAAGCAGCATCCTGGAGAAAAATGAGGCCTCCTCAAACGATAGCATCCTGGGCAGTGCCGTTTTCAAGGAGGACACTTGCCTTTTAAACATTTATTTTATATGTATCAATAATCAAACGAATAAATGTTGACATTTTAAAAACCTGAACGGAGGCCTGATAAGTAATACAAGGGCATTACCGATCAATAAGAGGGTCTCCCTATCCCAAGGCAGGGCATCTGGTTCCATAAAATAGCCTTTTGATATAGACGAGCTCTCTTATCTAGAACAAGGTCCTTTCGGTTTAAAAAGGGACTCCCAAATCCGCTCCAAAGGGTCTCATCACCCCAAAATATGACATCCTAGCCTGGAGCAGCGGGCTTCTGACACACTTGAGAGAATGCCTACTGATCTGGAGAAGCCACCTCCTGATGCATACAGAGCATCACCTAATCCGGAAAATTAGACTTCTGGTTCATAAGGGGGCCTCTTGAGCCAGCAATAGGGCCTCCTGAACACACAATAGGGTCTCTTTAGTCGGGCGACGAGCCTCTTGATGTAGAAAACAGCTTTCTGAGCCCGGTTTGGTAATTCCTAGCTCAGTTATGGAAGTTTTCTTGACCTGAGCTTTCACAAGATATGCGTCGCTGCAAAACTTTCAACTCGGGCAAAATGGGCTCGCCAAAATTTTGAGGGGGCTGGCACGCACTCTGCTGACAGCAGCCGCCTCGTTTCCCTCACCCCTCACCCCCGCACCCCCTCGTCCTCGTCGCCTTCGTTCGTGTATATATATATATATATATATATATATATATATATATATATGTATATATATGTATATATATATATGTATATATATATATATATATATATATACATATATCTGACCTAAATCCAAACGAGCTTGAACTTTACCCTAAACTTTCACGTGCAGGTTAACATTACATCAAGCGTAGAGGTTTCCCACCACGGCCTTAAGCCTTGGTTTATTTTGGGTGGACAGCATTCCCACTGGAGCAGCATTGGACGAAGTGAATGGCTTGGGATTGGACTTTGGGAACAGACTTTGCTAGGACCGTTACGAATTTCATCATATGAAACAAACTGCATCCATTTCATATTTGGTTCGTTGCGAGGCGCATGAATTAGCAAAGCTGACAAGTCGGAATACTGTTTCGGAATCACTTCCGACTGCGAGCGCGTCGTACATGTAGCAATACCGCCATAAACGCCAGGTGTGAGCAGGCACCTGACAACGACTGATAGCTCCTTCGGCCAGACACGGCGATAACGGCTTGCTTTGGCCGGCATCGCACGCACGGCGAAAAGTTATCAGCAGCACAAAACGATAATTTTGCATCGCGCGAACAGTCTCAGGTGGATTTTGGAAAACGCCTGAAAAATGAGCAGCCCCTTTCTCCACCCACACAAGGATATGGTCTCCTTTTCACTTCGAGCACTCCAGACGCTTCTCCTACCTATACTTGGACTCGACTCCAGCGCCCCCCCCCCCCCCCCGCTTAAACGTGGGCTCCAGTTGGTCCACAGGTGAAGATTTGCATTCTTTTGTGTGGGTCCTGCCCCCCCCCCCCCATGCTGAGTTGCCCCCTCCCCAATGTTGGCTTGCCGCCCCCTAATGTTTTTGGCTGGAATGCTACAAAAACGAGGGTAAAAGATGATCATAACACAAAGACTATCTTCTTTGATTTTTCTGAGTAGTGGCGTCTTGTTCACCCTTATAACAATAAGTCATGGTTGCTGTCACCACAAGATACAAATAGTAACAGCTGAGCTGGTAAACGATGCAATAAACTTCACATACCTAGTGCCATAAAACACGCCATGGTTTGTGAGGTTAAAGTGAAAAGCTCTGGAATATGGAGATGAGTTAAGTCCTTTACGGCTAAACCCGTCCCGTCCCGCACAACAGAAATGCGTGCCGCCTCCCATGCCCGCTATAGAAGAGCGTCATCGGTGCCCTAAGGTGGCCTCTAAAGGGGCGTCTTCACGTGCCGATCAGAAGAGACGCGTGTGTCCAGTGCCTGCTCTCTGCATCTAACCCTGCATGACTTCTGTACTTCTTAAATTAAAGACTTTTATAAATTATGCAAAGGTCAAAAACACATATTGCCTTTAGTCAAAACAAAGTGGGCTAAATCCAATGAGAAGAAGGTGGTGACAGGTTGTTGGGACTTCGGTTCTCCCCCACCCAATAATTTACAAAAATTGACACCCCCGCAGTGCACTCAGCGCCCAGGCCCGTTGCTGCTCACTAGCACACGTTAATCATGCCTGTAGTCCACCGACGACACTCCCGCGCTCAGACGCCGGACTCCGAGCTCGCACTCAAAGCAACAGCAAATTGTCAGTGGTCTATGACAATCACTTAGATCAGTTAGTGCATGGTGTTTGCTGTCAACTGCTGCTAAAGAATGTTTTGAAGTGCCAGTTGTGTATACAGTGCAAATTCGCCTTGACTTTTTTGTTCTCACTACATGCCGTGATTTAATATTTTTTATCTCTCTCCAACGGCCAAAACCCAATTTCAGATGCTGATACACATCGAAACGCAGGTAATGAGAGACACCTGTAACGCCACTCGAGCGCGTTTAAAAAGCGGCCGTAGGTTCTCCCGATGGCCCACTGCTGCACAGAATCAACCCAGTCCTTCATCTTTCAAGTCAACATAGTGTATACATTCAAGTATCTTTCAAGTATCCAACATAGTCAGCATCCAAGCATCGCTCAAGTAACATAGTGTATACTGAAGTGAAATACCTCATCACAATTGAGCCTACCACTAAACATCACCATCATTAGCCACGACCCCTAAGCACCACTCTCACGCGGGTCAAGGCCATTCAACCCGCGGCAAGATGGCACCGCATCGGAAACGCGGCGCCAATGGTCGAGATCACGTGACACACACCTTTAGCATCCACTCGTGTATTACCACAAACGGCGAACATTTGACACATGACACTCACCCTGGTGATGCTCGCCTAGTCTCCTGTGGTTCGACATGTCGCGCTATCACGCCAGCTCCGGTGTCGTTGTCAGCTCACCGCCTCCCTGCGCCTCACCGTCGTGAACGCCCGATTTCAGTCACGAGCTGACGCTTAGGGCCCCCCACCGCACCAGATCCACCTCGCCCTCGGGCTATGAAGCGCAGCACTGCCGCCTCCCGGCTGGCCGCCGTCGTTCCCCGCGCGTGCACTCACGCATGCGCACTGGCCGGCGGGCTTCGGCCCGAGGCGGCGCCAAGAGCGGTCGCGCGCGCGCGGGTTAGGGGTGTCTGGCACGCGTCGTTTCGCGTGGGGCGTTCCGGCTGGATTGCCTCAGAGCTTGGTGGAGGCGCAGAGGTCGCCGTCGTAGGGCAACCCTCGTGGCTCGGCGGTGCTCGCAGAGGCAGCAGCCAACGAAAACAGCAGCGGAGAGGGCGCGACCCTCGACTTGTCCTTTGGGACACCGAGATCGCAGTCCAGCTGGTACGGCGGCGGCAGGCTGGGCGCCTGTTCGATAAACAGCTGGCGCTCACTGTCGGTCATCGTCGACACCGAGCTGGTGCCCACCGAGTCCGTGGACGACACTGGCGACAGAGCCGGGTGTTATTGACGCAATCAGCTCCGGAAGTCTGGAATGGCACATGTCTTGGCTGACGCGCTACGCGTCTCGCCTGGGCGGGTCACGTGTGCACGTGGTGCTAAGGCGCTGGCTAGTGCTTCCTTACGTGAAGTAAATCATCGTGAAAACCCGGCAGCACCGACCCTACATTTATCGTCGAAACTTCCGGCCAAACGTATGGCTATGCCCGACGACCAGGCAGTCCAGACATCCGTTAAACAGATGCTGGCAGTCCCCACAATAGCCACGGCGCGTGATCTAAGGGCATGGCCTATAGCTAACACGCGACCCCGGATGCCCCCGGGGTAGGCGGCTCGGCTGGGTGCTGAAAGCCATGCAGACGATAAGGGCGTCCTTGTGGTGTCAAGAAGCGCCCCTGTGGTGTCAAGTGGCCACGGCCCTGTGGTATCAAGTGGCCACGGCGCCACACCACTCTCGCCGCAGTGACGTCAGGGGTGTATATTATTTTAGCGGGCCGCTGCCCCGCTCCTGCAGGGGTCATCGAGGTGAACTATGGTCTGGTTCCGCTGGTAGCGGCGCATTTTAATTCGTAGTGGGGGGGGGGGGACGACAACGGTAATGACTGATGGCTATGATTTGCTGAGACGGTTTTGCCCGTTCTCCCTCCCGAGACTTGTTTACGAAAATAGAATGAGATAAACTCTTCAGCGGAGCCACTTCACCCCAGCGTGGTTCCACCCCGTTTCCAGCATACAGCACGTAAAGCTGCATGCGTCAGCGGCATTGCGCGGTCCGTCAGCTATTGTGTCGATCGCCGCGTGATCCACCTCCGCCGCTGCTGCGCTCAGCTCGACCTTGTCCTCTGACCTCGCGCTCCGCTCCATCTGGCTTCTCTGACCGGGCGACTGTCAACCTGACCTCTGACGCTGCTGCGCTCAGCTCGACCTTGTCCCCTGACCTCGCGCTTCGCTCCATCTGGCCTCTCTGACCGGGCGACTGTCAACCTGACCTCTGACGCTGCTGCGCTCAGCTCGACCTTGTCCTCTGACCTCGCGCTCCGCTCCATCTGGCCTCTCTGACCGGGCGACTGTCAACCTGACCTCTGACGCTGCTGCGCTCAGCTCGACCTTGTCCTCTGACCTCGCGCTCCGCTCCATCTGGCCTCTCTGACCGGGCGACTGTCAACCTGACCTCCGTCGCTGCTGCGCTCAGCTCGACCTTGTCCCCTGACCTCACGCTCCTGTCAACCTGACCTCTGACGCTGCTGCGCTCAGCTCGACCTTGTCCCCTGACCTCGCGCTTCGCTCCATCTGGCCTCTCTGACCGGGCGACTGTCAACCTGACCTCTGACGCTGCTGCGCTCAGCTCGACCTTGTCCCCTGACCTCGCGCCCCGCTCCATCTGGCCTCTCTGACCGGGCGACCTGTCAACCTGACCTCTGACCTCGCACTCTGTTCGACCTGGCCGATGCGCTTTCTCCATGATCTGTCTGACCTGTTTGACCTTAGGTACCGTTCTGCGTGACCTCTCTGACACTGTGCGTTGCCCAGCCCGTTCTCGCAAGGCACCTATGTGTGAACTTACGGCCATTCTGTGCACTGATACATATCTCAGGGGCTGCGACGACCGTGTCGTGAGCCATCCTCCCGAGCTGTGTGTGTGAGCAAGCAGAGCGCGCTATGTCGAATAGGGTTAAGTTAGTGCACAATGCCAGGCAGCCATTGAACTCAAGCAACAATAAGTTTTGTGGGACGTGATTGGATCGGTAGTACTCCATGGTTGCTGACACCATGTATGTAATAGGAACAAGGAAATTATTGTTTTCTAGCAAGGATAGCAACTGCACACAAGAAAAGCAAAAAGAAGCCCCTAAATTATCCCTAGTCCCTATGCTGGCTTCAAGACAGTCAGATCATCCATATTTCATTGACTGTAAACGCAAAACGAGTGATTCATGGACGCAAATGTGGGTGCTTAATGTACTAAGATTTGTTTCGTTTACGGCCTTTACGTTTTCTGACATATTCATGAACTGATATTTCAGTAATATTTAGTTCATCCAGTTCCCAGCATATCTGACCTCTGTTGCTGCAGTCTGAGGTGAAGGTCGTGAGGGTGTTGTTAAGGTTGCTGGACCGGCTCTGCCTGGTGACGGCAACCTCGTCCACGTCCTGCAGCATGTTCTCCAGTTCCTGGCGACCGGACCTGCCGTCCCGCCGACCCAGTGACGCCGACGAGTAGCTGTACATGTTGGCCACGCCGCCAGACGTCGATGACGAGCACATCCGGTACGCCGGGCCTGACACGAAAGGGACAGGGGACGAGGTGGGGTAGGTGACACCAACCTTCGGAGCCCACCAGACGTCATCCAATACTTAACTGGCGGTAGACAGTCAAAGACTGAAATAAGATGTCATTGTGAGAGGCGTGATCGAAAAAAACTACGCAAAATCTACTGAAACTTGGAGGCAAATAAAATGTAAATCGATCGGAAATGGCTTGAAATGCTTTTTAAAAACGCGAAAATGAAACGGGATAACTATATAAAGGAAAATGCATTGCATATCAGGACGGTATTCGTAATATGAGCTACAAAGAAACGCATGCCTGAATGTGTGTTTCATTAGTTATCTTCGTGCTTAAACATGGCGGTGGAAATGGAACAGACGAAGTCGAGGCTCTCTGAAGTTACAGCTGACCACCAGTGACACATGCCATTTCACCGAATAATCTTTTTTACATTGAACCAATTTGTGGTCCCGCAATCAAATGTGCATGTAATTACCGTTCCAATGCTGAGGACAGGGGGAGAAACAAACCGCAGAAGTACTTTCAAACACACGTGGCTTTGTACGCCGTGCCGCGACAACGCCTGGTGACCAATGACGGGCTTACCCCCAGCACCCCGCTGCTTTTTATAGGCGCGGCACGACCTCCAGAGCAGGCAGAGGGCGATGACCACAAGCACCACAGTGATGAGTGTCCCGAACACCACGCCGAGAACCAGCGGCACACTGCCGGGAACAGAGGCGGACGTGATGAGGTTCCCGAACACCACGCCGAGAACCAGCGGCACACTGCGGGGAAAAGAGGCGGACGTGATGAGGTTTCCGAACACCGCATCTAGCACCAGCAACACCTGTGGGGAAGAGAGGCGAGCGTGATGAGGTTTCGGAACACCACGCCCAGCACCAGCAACAACTGCGGGTAAGAGAAAGACAACAGGGTGACGAGGTTTCCAATCATCCCATATAGCGCCAGCGTCGCAGCACGTAGAGGAAGGCGACCGCGATGGCCGTGTCGAACATTGCTACAAGTTTTCCGTCAGAGCCGGCTTCTTCCAACAGGCCTCTCATCATGCAAAGCCGCCTGCGAACCGAACAAGGATGCACGTGCATGTCGCAATACGACGTGAGGGAGTCTGCACACACAGCCTGCTCTTTGATCAGCAGGAGCTTCCGTCACGCGACACTGCACCCCGCTGCTTAATCTAATGACATTGGGGCTGCATGTTCCGGACTGCCGAGCTGTGGAGCACGCACAGACTGCACGCAGCAGTGCTCCGGATGGTCTCATGACGCGGCGCCGTGTCCCCACATGAGATTGCAAAGTTATCGGAAGTTGCCAGTTTCGACGACGGCTCCGGTCTGTTCGTTACCAGGCACCGTTCAGACGCGGTAGAATACTTTTAAAAAGGGACGCAACGCACAACGTCATGTACCTCTCTGCGGAGCGCCAATGACTACAGAGGTCATGTTAGCGATCAAGGGCAATGACGCAACCGTGGCTGGAACCCGGGGCTCCACTCGGGCGCAGATGGCGCTAACCATTCGACCACCACACCCGTTCACAACAGAACATCACGGAGGCACGGCGTAACATTACATGCATATTTGTGATACGCTGGGTTGATATTCCTTATAGAAATAAAAGCTATGTCAAGTAAGGTTCGAAAACATTTCAATATTCAAAGTAAGTGAACACTGTATGGTTGATTATACAAAGTTTGTAAAGTCACACGAGTATTGAGCTGATTTTGAAACTGAAGATGCTATCTGTTTCTTAGTTCAAGTTACTGTGATGGATATTTCATCACCACTGGTTGTTTCCTAATTACTCAGGTGGGTATCAACTACCCGTGAAATATGCATCTTACTGTATGCAAGCTTTGGCAAACTATTGCACGCAAATTGGAAAAATATGGATAGGGTTGCCCTTTCTGAGGCGGTGGGTGGCCCAAGGCAAAGACAGTGCACACAAAAATCCTGGAGCGATTCAGCAGCTACTTTGTAGATTTGATGCATTTTGACCCATGATTGTCACGTGTCTTATACTAAAAACGTCATTGTTGGTACCATAGCCTTCCCTCAAAACAGGCGCAATGAAAAATTAAAAAGTGATTTGAGCTCCTAAATCCCAGAGCGCAACGTCTAAGGAATTAAATGCATCTCCACTCTTATCATCCGTGAAAGATAACAAGTGCTTCAATATGGGCCACTTGTGGTGGCGTGCACCGTCATGCAGCCCGTCCCCATCAATGAGAATGGCATCTATGAAACTCAAACCGGTGTTCGAGCCCAGGACCCAGTGCTCGAACCCAGGGCCCAGTGCTCGAACCCAGGACCCAGTTATAAGCAGCGTGCGTGGCCTTCCGCACATTAGTCCAGTCATTTATCTTTTCAGTCGCAAGCTCCGCCACCGACGAAAGACGCGCTGCAATTTGCGGTAGAAAATATTAGCCAATCAGCTTCGAGGTGGGTGATCTACGGACCGTAATCTGTTCATCAACGCATTACTGTCGGCAAGAAGTGTTCGGCTTGGTACACTCCAATTCTGCAGATAAATATTGACAGAATCTGCGCACTAAGCTCGCCAGAAGACGTGCAGCACTGCCCAAAACATGCGGTCGCGAGCGATGATCATTATGCTGTAGGAATGAATGCAGCTCACTGCATCTAAATGCTGCCAACTTGGCGATATTCTTGACATGTCGTTCTTGTTTGGCATGACATGACTTGACATCCTCACATGATCTGACAGCTTGAAAAGACAAGGATTTAAAAGCGAAAGCTTAAATTGTTCAAAGACTTAACTGACAGCCATCAGATGCTTTCAGCACCAACAGAGGCATGCGTTCATAATGAGAAGGCTGTGATCTGGCGCTACACATCGTCCCTGCAGATCATTTGCCCCGCGTCCAGCTAAGCACTTTCAACTAAGTACTCAGTTAACATATATGCACATTCATTCTTTCAACTTGATGGCACAACAATCAAGAAAATAGACGTTAAGTCATTAAATTCTGTTTCGGACGATCAAATGTCGTATATGGTCTGGAGAAATGCATAGGGACTAGATGCACCGTCTGCACCGCGAAATGACCTATCTAAGGTCGGCTCTATCAAAGGTCACCGGTATTGGTCGGTGCTCAGCAACACAGTCAGTCCGAGGCAGTTTCACGAAGCCTGACCAATGCCACCTCCCGCCTGGGTTCAGCGTGTCCGTGCCGAGCCACTGCCAGACGACTATAGCTCGGCGGCCGCTGTCGCCGCCGGGCGCCGACCACCGGCGGCGGCGCGCCGGCCGCAGCCCGCCGGGCCGACGGTGGCGGTCTGACTTGGCGCCGCTCCCGGCTCGATAGTGGCGGCGAGCGCCAGGAGCCGACCGCAGCGCTGGCCGCCACGGCGCCGCGCCGACCGGTCCGCCGCGGCCCGCCCCACCGGCACGGGCGCGGCCGGTACCGCCGCCGGCGTCCGAGACCCGGCGGCCGGCACCGCCGCCGGGATCCGAAACACGGCGGCCGGTATCGCCGCCGGGATCCGAAACACGGCGGCCGGTATCGCCGCCGGCGTCCGAGACCCGGCGGCCAGCACCACCGCCGGCGTCCGAGACCCGGCGGTCGGCTTATTGACGCTGCCTGGTTAGCGCCCGTCGCGAAGTCGTTTGGCAAAATCTTTTTGTTTTCTCTTTGTTTTTGTTTTGTTGTTTTCATTAATTAGAACATACAAGTATCATCCGTGAAATTCTGAATTCGTTGCTACATTTTGATCCTTTTAGGATCACGGAAATTCGTTTAATGCTATGTTATGTGAAAGCCAGAACCTACTTTAGGTGGATAAAACGCGTCACATCACAACAATTATGTAAAAGAGCGGGTGCAATACCGGTCTCAGCCCTTCAACCGGGGATCTAGCTGGCATTACTTACCGTTCAAACAATGTTTTTCAGTTCTCTCAATCCCATTCTGCTCTGTCTTTTTTTTAGCAAGGTGCGCTGGCCACTAGCCCAGCTTGGACCCGTGGGACACGCCAACCAGCCAGTGAAAGAAGAAATCGGACCGAACACGTCTCTGTCCGTCTCACCTGGATAGCCGAGCCTGACGCCTGACCCGAATCCCCGCCAGTTCAGTGGTGTCCATGATCTGCCCCCGATCAGCGAGGCCGGCCCGGACACGGGGTCGGCTCTTCTCTGCAAGCCCCGGTGCGCCGCTGGGGCGGTGACCTTCCGAGCACCGCCGCCCGCTGGACGGACCCGGCGCCGACACGGGCCGGCCGGACAGCGTGCCGGGCATTCCCGCGCGGCCGCTGGGCGCGAGCGAGCATCGGACCGGACGGGTAAGCTCGGCACGCTCGGCTTGTTCGGCCGTGCTATACTGATAACACGTCCGCCGGTGGCAGCCAGCAATGACGACTGGCATCAAACACTCTCTGCTCCGGAGCGCACGGAGGCAGTGACGGCATCGGCCTGTGACTGCTGATCATTTCATGTAGAGGTCAGCGGCTTGCCGGCCTCGTGGTGAGCCAGGCACGTACCGGCGCGGAGCGCGATGGCCGGCAGGTGGATGGAACAGGTACATCTTAGATCCGTGCTGGTCCACGGCGCTCTCGTGCGCACACACGCACGTGGTTGTCATGCAAGCAGAGAAGAACAAGGTATATTTAGGTCTAGCTTCCGGCATGTCTTGTTCAGGTAAGTGACGTTAGTGACTCTGGATTTAGAAATCGTAGCTTCAGATGTGATCTGTGGTGAGGAATGCGCCAGCTTGAGAAATAAGCATCACAGACCAGGATATTGGGAACATGATGTTTACCTCACGGGCGTCAAAATTCCAATGCCAATCATTTGAATAAATTACAAGCACATAAGCACGTGTTACGGCTTTCACAAACGAAAATCAGGAACGTAAATACGAGAAATAAGATCACTGCCCACCGTCCAATGCAACTCCTGTCCAGTTCTGTCACCAAATCCGCATGTCTTTAGTCACGATTCCGGGTGCCAATGCTCCAAACTAGGACCGGCTCTATGGCGCCAGATTTTTACCGTTATTTTCCCGTGCACCCAGCCCTAGAGCTGGCCCTCCCCTCCCCCTAATACCTCTGTCCAGTCCATTGGTCTTAACCTGACTGATCACATCTTCCCATCTCCAGCCCCACGGCCCTGTCTGCCATCCCTCTGTTTCCTACCCCAACCCCATGACAGGTGAGCACTCATCCCCTTATCTCTGCCACAAGTCCGCGTCACTCATCACCCTGCCTCCAGTCGCCGTCCCTCATCATCCTCCCCCTCCCCCTGCAGCCGCCGCCCTCGGTCCGGGTCGCTCCAGCCCGGTTAACCGTCCGATTCATCTTCATCCGCGAGCATTCATCAGTCACGCCATCGTACGCCGCAGTGTCATGGCGGCGATTCTGCGGCCGGCGGCGGGACGGGAAGGTCGTGTCCGCCGCTCGCCGCTCGGTCTGCTCTCCCGGATGGCGGCGTCCGGTGACCGACAGCACGCGCCGAGATCGCCACCGGGACTGATGACGTCAACGGGCGGTGAGTCGGTCAGGCGGCCGGTCAACTGGCGTCCTCAGGTCGGCGGGGAGCCTCGCCCGCTGCTGACACCGCTCAGCCCTCAGGTCGGTGGGGAGCCCCACCCTCTGCCGACAGCGATCAGCCTTCAGGTCGGCAGGGAGCCCCGCCCGCTGCTGACACCGCCCAACTCTCAGGTCGGTGGTGAGCCCCGCTCGCTGCCGACACCGATGAGCCTAAGGTCGGTGAGGAGATCCGCCCGCTGCCCACACCGATCAGGTACACCCTTCGGTGTATTCGTTAGCAAGGACAGGACAGCAGACACCGTGCTGGTTCCTTCAACACATTGTGTGCACTTAATCGACCTCTAAATTAATTACAGAGCACGAACATGCTCGCAGCTGAAAAAAAGAAGCGACAATTTTGAGGTAATGAAGTCACTTTTTAACTTGGAAGATAATGGAATTCAACTTGAAGTTACAGAAGATAATCGCATGCTGATGGGGTCTGACTGCTCCAGTGGCCACAGGATAACTCAGGATGAAACAGGTGGCCACAGGACGACACCCCGCCAAATACACCTTGATGCGTGGCCGCTAGTCCCTCTACCCGAGTTACCCGAACTTTGGTATGATTTTGCCACAGTTCGTGGCCAAGCATTTCAACTTCAACTTCAAGCGTACCCAGCGAGGTCATGCCGCTTTCATCTGAGCTGCAGCTTTACGTTCTCTGCCGGGCAAATGTGACTCACTGGGTGGAAATCGAACCCATATGATGACATGAATCAGTGGGTTGGAGCCCACATGGTGACGTCTCGAACCCAGTGAGTCCGCCTCTATCTATGGGACGGAGTCAACGTGGAAAGCTCCATACGAATAAGGTGGTACATCCATGCCACATAGCACATTTGCCGATAAGCTCTTACTCGTGATGCAAGGTGTCAAAACCCGCTTCCCGTTTGAACAGTGTTTTTCCGCTGATGCTGTAGCGGTAGTCACTAAGATGGTAGGGGCTGCATGCACGGTGAGCACAGCTTGTGCTATAAGTTTGCAAGGTTTGCTCGTGATATGTAGCCAGTAGGAAGCGGAAACGTGGTAGAAACATTATTTACCAAAGCATTGCACATTCCATGGCGGTCGAAAACCAAAGCACTGAAGTGGAAATATTTTAGTTGTCGGGAATTAGCTACTACTGGAAAGCTGCTTTTCGTAAACCTATCTCCGAGAGTTCAAAATATAAAAATTGACAAGTAGGCCTTGTGTAGAGCCCACGAAGCAGAACCGTAAAGAAAAAAGAGTCATTATATTTCTCAACTGTATGCTATTTCACTCAACTAGAACCCTTTTAATTGGCGCCTTCCTTTGGTATTCAAGCCCATTCATTCCAGCCTACGTGTCAAAGCCGAGTTGGACGGGCGGCCGCTCCGTCACACCGCAGCATCCTGCGGTGACATATTGGCCGGTGGGTGGCAAATGAGCGCCCTGACGACCCGTGAGTGCCAGGATCCAATTTCCGGCTCTGACGGCGTTCAGAGAAAAAGCGATTGTGCAAGGAGCCAGAGTCCAATCTCCACTGGTAGACCAGCTTTTCACCGGCCATTGGAAGCGCGCCCAGATGAAAGTGTTACACATGCAGACCTGTGCGTCCAGTGCGTCATGCGCACGTTGCCCGATCCACTGCGCGTGGGTGGTCAGCATAAAGCACGCGAGTGTAGGGTTTCAAACAGTTTTGATTTCAGCAAATTGATAAGATTGGTGCTACTTTTAACGCATCGCGTCGTGCAGGATATAAAGTCAGACACAAAAAATGCATACAACAATGCTAATTTAACCAATCAGTTAATACTGCATTAGCACTGACAGCACGGAGCGGTTCTCCCCCTCGTCATTTCGTTATGGGGCTGCTACTCCCGCCATCTCCAGCACTGTTTTCACTCAACCGGCCGAATTTAACTGAGCGCTACCGAAAACCGCACGGCGCTAGGCTGAGCTTGATTGGACGACCCTGATAGACGGGGGCACAAACTGGCTGGATGGCCATTGACCGTGCCGGTGAATGATGGCCTCCCGGACGAGAGCGGCCAGGCGCGGCGGCGCGGCGATGTGAGGCGGAATGATATGGTCTGCAGAGCGGCGGGCGACGGCACCGGGCCGCCGCGAGCGTGGTGTGGTCCTCCCGTACCCAGCGGTGGGCGACGGCACCGGGCCGCCGCGAGCGTGGTGTGGCCCCCCCGTACCCAGCGGCGGGCGGCGGCACCGGGCCGCCGCGAGCGTGGTGTGGCCCTCCCGTACCCAGCGGTGGGCGGCGGCACCGGGCCGCCGCGAGCGTGGTGTGGTCTTCCCGTACCCAGCGGTGGGCGGCGGCACCGGGCCGCCGCGAGCGTGGTGTGGTCCTCCCGTACCCAGCGGTGGGCGGCGGCACTGGGCCGCCGCGAGCGTGGCATGGTCCTCCCGTACCCAGCGGCGGCATGCTTCCAGGCGCGGGCTTGGGTGAGAAATTGGGTCACAGCGGTCGACATCCGAGCAGAGTTTAGGGTACGTGCGCCAAATGCTGATAATAATTCAGAAAAAAGACCGTAATCTAAACACTTTACACTACATTCAGCGCTTAGAGTAAGCTGTCAATTTGTTCCGTTCAGAATTGGAGCAGGCATTGTACAGCACAGCACCAATTGACAAGTTTGCACAAATCAGTATGATCACCACAGTGCGTGCTGAATACATGAACGTCACATAACCAAGCTCTACCCATTGTGTGTGTGTGTTTTTTTAACGAAAGCTACCCGCCAAGCTTTATAGAGGCCCGGGAGTGCCAAGCTTGAACACGAAATTGACAGCTACAGCGGGACACAGGCCCGTTGGATGAGAAGCGGCGTCCCCCTGCTCCGCTGCCGTCTCATCTCCACTATTCGGCTGCTCTTAAAACTGACCGGAGTTACGGATTGGGCATGCGACAGTAAGTATTACGTTTCACAGGCGACAACCCTGGCAGCGGTGTATTGATCCAAAGCGGCCCCACCGCTGCAGATTCTCACCTACGGTTGACGGCGTCCGGGTCCGTCTCATCGCTGCAGATTCTCACCTACGGTTGACCGCGTCCGGGTCCGTCTCATCGCCGCAGGTTCTCACCTACGGTTGACCGCGTCCGGGTCCGTCTCATCGCCGCAGATTCTCACCTAAGGTTGACCGCGTCCGGGTCCGTCTCATCGCCGCAGATTCTCACCTACGGTTGACTGCGTCCGGGTCCGTCTCACCGCTGCAGATTCTCACCTAGGGTTGACCGCGACCGGGTCTGTCTCACCGCCGTCGGTACAGCAGTAGCGGTAGGTGGAGGTGCCGCAACAGAACATGGGTTCCTCCTCCAGCTTCGGACAGGCGAACCCGTTGTTCCACGTGCCAAAGCTGTCTATGTAGCCGGAACAGAACGGGTCCCGATTCAGCACTGGAGGCAACACACGCGCTGTCTGAATGGGCATCAAAGGATAGTTTGTTCAAGTCGCAATGGTTGTTAAGGTAAAAAGCTTTTCAGTAATGACGTTTCCACGATTAGATTTTCAGTAATGACGTTTTCACGATCTGGTTTACACTAATACAACAATTTTGAATCCCACCTTACTCTTTTCACGTCGTTGCATTCCGAATACAACCCGTCCAATCGGTGAACATAAACACATTTCCTGTATGTTACGCAGAGTTCCATTCCAAGCTGTTCGACTCAGCACAAAATATCACATTTACGACATATTTCGGCACATTTGTCACTTTTTAAGTGACTTCGGGCTTTCCTCTGAGTCTTAAAACTAATCCTAGTTTCTCCCGAAAATTTGTGGTCCACTTCAGTCAAAGCGGTGTACGAATCCTCAGTACGTATATTGATACACTCCCTGATAACCTCTTCTTTGCACCTATTTGTAGAGAACTATATAGTGAATTTCCAATCACTCAGTCGACGATCAATGACAGCGAACTTAGTTTTGTCGAGGTTATCACTCAACATATACGCTCCAAATACCTCATCACATGTGCATGCTTCTGTTAGAAAAAGAAGTGCAACAACGATAGCAATAATCGAACGACGCGGCAGAGCACACTTCCAAACGATGTTCCGGGATGGTATACTTACCATGTGTGTGTTAAAGTGCCCATCTGAATGTGGTGATTTAGAAACGCCGTGGCTATCAAGAAACAACGTGCACATAATCGCCAGTTTGCAACAGACGGACCGGAGTTGGGAACGTGTTCATTATTCACGAATCAGCATAGGAACATCCCGTCTAACAGTGGCAGTCACGTCTGGGAACGCAGCCATTTTCCACCGCTCGTCATGGTAGTTATTGGTGGCCATCTGCATGCTAAGTGGCGCTCCGTCGCCGCGCTGAGTCGGCCCGATCCCCGCTTCCACCGCTCGTTCTCCCGATCGGGCTCAGTCAACCGTCTCTGGCCTGGGCCGCGGCTCGCATGCTGCCAGCGCTGCTGCGCAGTCTGCGACCGGGCCAGCGAGACTGCTGGCACGTGCTCCAGCACTGCCCTGCCGCCTCGAGTCGGTGGCGGTGCCTGGCTAGGAGACGGGAGAGATCACGTGGGTGGAAGGAGAGGCGAAGCCGGTGATCCGTGGAAACGCGACGGCTCACGGGCTGCAGCGACGAGCGGTGGGGACTGGCACGTTGGACAGTAACGAGAAGTGGAGCAGACATGTCGCACAACAGCAGTGCTGCAGGAGTGTGGAGCTGATATGTGCTCGCACAGGAGGAGCGACAGTGACCCGGTGGAGCAAGGTGGAACTGGGCGGAGGAGCAGACCAAAAACGGGACGATGAGGGAGGATGGGAAGGAGGATGTTGGCCGTTTATCAACATTTCAGTCAGCTTTAGCTATATGCGTCGGATTAGCAGGCGGTTGAAAAAGTATGCGCGGATTAATACACGACGACCAAATTACGGTGCAATTCGGTAATGGTTATGGAGAAACGGACAGTTGGCAATTTGGTGCAATAAAAGATGATGTGAACATACATGTTCAGATGGTGCGACACACCATGCAGTTATCTAATGTGATTAAGATATTTGTTTGCATCTTAAAAGTGAGCTCATTTTTTCCAAATTGCACGCCTGGAGGGCTAATTTTTCAGCAGCGCAATTTGTTACATAACATAAACGCGCATCAAACGGCCGATAAAACAGTATATTATCTATATTTCACCAAAAGTCATGTCCAAATCATCACCATGCCTATCACAGCGTAACCTGGTATGCACTCTCAGGGATATTATGTCTTCTAGCACAGTAATAAAAAACATGATGACTGACACAGAATTGTCGAGGAAGCAGAGAAAAAGCAATGCGCGGGCATTTGATGAAAAATGACTTGTCGGAGTTTGTAATAGTAACCAAAATATGTGCGCCTTGGTCAAACATGCTTGGTGTTAGTAGAAATCCAAGACTTTCTGAAATTAGTTGCAAGCAAGATGATTCTTCTCTTTCAAGATTGCCTTTCGTGTGATGCCCAGCGTCTCATGCCTATCAGAACTTTAAGAAGTACGAACGAAATAGCCAACCGGGTCTTCAAATCAGTTCATGCTTTTATGCCGGGTCAAACCATATCCTGAAACAATCCTGAAAATTCTAAACCAATTCATCTTACTTTGACAGAATGAACACTCAAAGACCTTTCGCCTCCCGCATGCGCGCCATCACACAACTCTCTGCGCATTCACTTTCGGCTTTGCGCATTTTATTGCGGGTATTTTTGCCACCAAACCCATTCAATATTCTTTTTCCACTCACCTATTAATATTTCTCGCGCCCGCGGTTTCCTGGCAGCTGTCGTCTGGTCATGTTTACATTCTACTATTGGTTTGACAACCATCTGCAAAAATCATCACAGCTTCTAACCTCGCTACGGAACACTAATCTCGTGGCGGACTGGCAAAAATTGCGTGGTAATAATTCCATGTTTCGTCTGTGGAAGTCTAGAGGCCTTCTGGCGCATCTCATGCTTAAACAAGAGGTCATTCTATAGTGCAAGCGATACACAGCTCAGTGGATGTATCCTGGTATCAAATAAGACATCAGCATAAGGATCATGTATATTTTTCACCACACAACTGATTAATTATTTACCAGGGTACGAAGTTATATATTGCGTTGGGGATGATTTTAATGCATATCTGGAGGTAGAGTAATAGATGTAGTTTCCTATCCAGTTAGGGGGGGGGGGGCCCTCCCCCAGCTTTGAGAAGAATGTGGGCCAAATCGGAGAGGAATCTTTTTCTTAGTGTGCCTTTAAAGTAGGTTGCGTCGAGTCGTTTTTCGGGACTTGCCCCCCCCCCCCCCTCCCCCGCCAACTGATTTTGTAAAACTACGCACCTGAGTGGGGCTTTTTGTGTAAGCCAAATATTGGATCACCTCATGCAATATATTTCTGGCGTGGAAAAACCTTAGATTTGTGTATAAGCAAGAAGCCGGCGGGTGTCGTGGCTTAGATGAGACAACACACCAAGAAAAACCGAACCAACCAGTTTTCGGTCGACATTTTTGGTTATTCCGATTAGCATGTCCGGTTTGCCAGTTGGGCAGTCTGACCACGCAGCACCACATATTGTGGTAACCGGCGGCTTTGACGGCGCCCGGGCCGTGATGCATTTGCCGGACATGTATTGGACAGGCATTCAAGGCGCCGCATTCCATGGGACGTCATTAATTCATGAGACGGACACTTAGAAATGGCTGGTTGCAACGCAGCCGCCGGTTGTCTGATCGGTCCAACGGCTTTCAAGAGGCCGTCAGAACACGCTTTCAGCAGCACGAGTTATCGCCCCGATACATCTGCCGCGCCGCTACAAATATAAATCAAACGCAATAAACGGGGAGCAGACTTTCGCCGAACCAGTTGAATATGTTTGCCGCCATCCGCGTTTGCCGGGTCAGGTGGAGGGATGTCGCTGCTGTTGTGGTGTCACCGCCCTGACCCGTCCGCGGTGACTGGGGCCGGCCGGAGCCGGATGCGAGGTCACACCACATGCCGGCCGGGGTCGAATGTAAGATCACGCCACACGACCGGGATCGGTTGTGAGGGCGCGCCATATGGTCGGGGTCGGAGGTGAGGTGACGCCGCATGGTCTGGATCGGTTGTGAGGTCACAACACAGGACCGGGATCGGTTGTGAGGGCACGCCACATGGTCGGGGTCGGAGGTGAGGTGACGCCGCATTGCCTGGATCGGTTGTGAGGTCACACCACAGGACCGGGATCGGTTGTGAGGTCACACCACCCGGCCGTGATCGGATGTGAGGTCACACCACATGGCTAAGGTCGGATGCGAGGTCACTCCACATGTCCGAGGTCGGATGCGAGGTCACACCACACGACCGGAGCCGGATGCGAGGTCATACCACATGGCCAGATCAGAAGGCAGGGGCTGTAGTTTGGTTTGGTTTCGATTTTTCCTTTCGCCCAGTAATGACCAATCCAGAAATATAGGATGAAAGAGAGTACATCATGGTGGAGCAGAACTGCATGCTCCTGGGGGTTCATCCATCGAGACTCAGCACCCACTGCCACTCCCTTACCATGCATGTGCTCGGCGCTCAGATGTCCCCCTCTCCCCACCCCCACCCCCAAACCCACCAGGGGGCACGTAAGCTCACTCTTGTCTGGTGCATATAGTTAATCCCGAACAAGTAGAGCGTCGCACAGATGAATGATAAAGCGGAAATGATAAAGGAAGGGCAGATGGCAGCGGCTCCAAGTAGACAACAGTGACCGTCCTGTGCCTGGGCGGAGCGCACGAGACGGCAGACGAGCATGGAGGACCTCACTTTGTGTCATGCTGCACATATTTCGCATTCACGTATTGAAACCACGAGGATGGGACCACAGCTGATTTGGGCGCGTCGTCCAAACGTTCAGTCCAGGCAATCTCGGAATTCCACGATACCGCGAGCGGTGTCGTGGAATGTTTTCTGGACGCAAGCTCGGGGCGGCAGACCAGTCACGGGTATCGGGCTGGGCCGCCGGAAGAGAGCCAGAGTGCTCGGCGCCGATCTGGCGTACCGTGCTATCGGATGTCAAGGACTCGGTTATATGTATGAGCAATCCGGAACCTCTCCTGGGTCGGAAATTATGTCCTTATCTTGACTGTCTTCAGCAAATCCGCAACAAGGCGCGCCAGCTATTTATTACTAACGCGTGCGCCAATAAAGGAAGCATGTTTTCCAGCTTAGACGAAAGCAGCCGAATGCGTTGCAGAATGCAAAACTTCTACACATCATAATCATCACCCATTGTTTCTTTACGGGATATGTGGTTAGAGACCTTCAGCGTGTTCACTACGATAATACTTGTGCCAGGGCCGTGCTAGACAGGCCTGCTGGTGTCAGGACCGTTTCGGACGGGCCTGACACCAGCCAGCAGGCCCTGCTGGTGTCGGGACGGTCTAGGACGGGTCTTCTGGTGTCGGGGCCGTCTCGGACGGGCCTGCTGGTGTTGGGACCGTCTCGGACAGGCCTTTTACGACGCCGGGAGACCGACCCGGACCTCAGTCTCCAGCTGAGCATCTGAGACAAGTGCCCCGCGCTCGCCCCAAATCGTCAGCTGTTTACCCAGCGGTGCGGGACGGCATCGATGCTTCAGGCAGCACCGATGTAAATCAAACGGTGGCGCGCGCAAAAAGCGAATTATCGCGCCAAATGTCGGCGCTTATCTGCTTTCTTAACAAAACAAGCCGGTAAAAAGGCGCGTTGACAAATGCCAGGTGCCGGCGATGTGTGCGCGCGCGCGAAGACAAAGAGCACGCGGCCGGGGTCACCAGCGGTGCAGGAGCTGTATGCCGCGCCCTCCGCGGCTCCTGGAGGGAACGGGTGGAAGATGCCACACCTTGCGTGGGCGCATGAATTGTTTTCCACGATGGCAAGGGGAGAGGCTGTTTGCTATACGACAGTCATTCATATCTGATGACTGTCTGGCTACTGGGAGGGCCTTGCTTCGGGGCACTATTGTCTTCTATCCATTTGTCTCCTGGTCCGTAGCGTGTGATCTGGTGTGTCTCCTGATCCTCAATATGTCTCCACGTCCACGTCGTGCCTCTGACGGGTCACTAGTAAGCGGCAAGCATCCAGTCGTAACCGCTGGCGCGTCTTCTGGTATCCAGCGTGTCTCCCGTTGCAAAAGACCTCGCCTCCAATGGTGCCTCCTGATATGCTTCCTAGTCCGCAAATGCTCTCTGACGTGTCGCCTGATTTACGCCGTGCCTCCTAACGTGCCCACGGTCTGGGGGCGCCTCCTGACGGGCCTCCTGACACACAGCATATCCCTTGACGTTTGCCATGGTTCGCACTCCGCAGGGTGTCTCCTGTCCGCAGGTGGTCTCCTGATCGGCAGGTTGTCTCCTCGTCTGAGGTGTATCTCTTGGTCGGCAGGTTGTCTCCTGGTCGGCAGGTTGTTGCCTGGTCTGCGGGGTATCTCCTGGTCGGCAGGTTGTCTCCTGATGGGCAGGTTGTCTCCTAGTACACAGGATGCCCCCACAGCTCTCGCTGGCTGTGATCCATGATACCCCGAATGTCAACACTGCGGCTGACAGGCAGCCAACTCGTTACGCCGTGAAATACGCTGCCTGATCCGTATCCAATTAACACCGCAGTGCCAAGACGGCGACAGCGCGGCAGCATGCGGCAGGCGGCTGGCGGCAGGCGGCTGGAGTTAAGAGACCGACAGTGAACAGCGCAGACCTCTATTCTCAGTCGAGCTCAGGCTCAGGTCAGGCCTCCACTCAAGTCAGGCCTCTTTAGGCCCAGGTAAGGCCTCCCAAGTTAGGCCTCCACAGACTCAGTGACGAAGGCTCAACATGTTGTCAATGAGTCCTCACCTCACTAGTGTCAGCAGAACTGCTCGATTTCAGCACCTCTGTGCCGCAGAGAGGTTAAATGCATTGGAGTCCTCCCAGAACTCCAAGCCTGAGGAAGCGCAGGACTCCTGAATGGCATGACAGACCCTCGGTTGTCCAGTCTCCGCCGTCCGGTGTCCCAGTCCAGACAGTCGGCGAGAGGCGGCAGCTCAGGCAGTGGACCCAATAGCCCAGACGGCGTCCCTATTTCCCGCGGAAGCTCAGTATATTTAGAGGCAATTTCCCGTCACGCGAAAATATAGCGCCACTTTGTCACGATCGGGCCGGAAAACAGGTCCCGCTCGGGGCCACACTGCTCAATGTCGACCGCTTTAAGTGATCCCCATAATATTTTGATACAGTGACCAAGCAAGTGACGTTGATGCCGCCACCGGGAGTTATCCCGTCGGGTAACATTTTGCTCTATGTCGGTTAGTGATCCACAAGAAGAACAGCGGTGGACGCATCGTTTCTGTTTTTATTATGGTAATACTCGTGTGATGTGGGGATCTCTCTGGGATGGATGGGTTTGGGTGTACACCACGAGCAAACCGTAAACCACAAACAAACTGGTGGCTGCCATCGTCCCGGTTGTGAGCTGTTGACCAGCCGGGTTCTGCATTGCTAGAAACATGTCTGCACCATTGCATAGCCTCGAGCATGCCAATGGCGCATGTCGTTTTCGTGTGGAATGTTACGACTATGAGTCTTAGTAGAAAGACAGAACAACAACACCGCCACGCTCAGCTCGATGATTCGTTATTGGATTTTAAGGGAGTCAACACCGCCACTCTTGGCATGTCTGATCTCGAGGTGCAGCGAAGATCGGACTTCGTGAGGATGTATGATTTGACGGTCTGTAAAAATGCTAGTCATGCGATTGTTGAGTTTATTTTGTTAGCTTGCTTTGAGGTCTGAAACCAGTGAGCCTTCCTGGTTTATTCATGAGTGCGTTACATTGCAACGGTCAACATTGTTCCAAACTTCCAAAATGAAAAATGCGGTAGTAATAGAATATGGTAAACGTGTACCTATTTATATATGACTTGTGAATATAGGTATATAGTCAATAGTGGTACTAATTTTCTAGTACAGATTGACATTATGTACGGAAAAAGAGAAACTAGGCAAGCTAAGCTGAGAGTGATTACAGTGCCTCACATAATTTACTGATGTGAAGCCATGTATTGGCCTAGGACGGCGAAACAAAAATCGATGAGTTGCTAGTAATAAAAGGAGATCAACATTATCCAGGTCCAAAGTTGTCACCTGGCGGCGCTCCAGGTCAAAGTAATGGCTTGCGGCTTTCTAGAGGACGACTATAAACGCTACATCTGAACGGCCACAGGGTAAAAGTTCCGTAAGTAGAGGCATTGAATGACAACCGGAGAATGATTCAAAGTATTCCAAACCAAATGACATCCAATTATCACTGTCTGCGCATTGATCTGGCCAGAAGTATCAAACGCACCCGCCCTCTGCAGACCTGGCCTGACTTACTTAAGCGATGTCCTCACTGTGCGAGGCCGGCCTTCTCCTCCGCAGACCGGTATGCAGCCGGCGGATAAACATGCGTGTTTTTATCAATTTTGAGTATATTAGCGTGCCGTTTTATGTGTTTCGAGCATATTTCATGATATGTGGCTCCGTCAGTGTAATAACGTCGGTCAGCCGCGCTAG